CCTGCTGCAGCAGGATGCAACCTTCACAGAGACAAACCACCCAGAAGTCCGGAACCAGATCTGCCCCAGAGCTCAGAACCTGGTCCCGGATCCTCCCTGCAGCTGCAGAGAGGAGCACAACAAGCAAACAAACAAACAAACAAACAAACTTGTTTTTAAAGGAGGTGATTTTTCTGAACTCACAGAGGAGCAGAGCAACAGGCAGCATCAGGAGGCGCGCGGAGTTCAGCAGAGACCACATCCCGATCCGAAAGTTCGTCCTCAGAGTCCGAAGTCCAAAGTTTCAGCCCCGAACCGGATCTCCAGATTCCGCTCCTGCTGATGGGGGAGGTAAATCCCGCAGTCCGGGGGCTGGAGAGGTTCTCCTGCGGTTCTCCTGCGGTTCTCCTCCTCTCTGCAGCTCCGCACTGAGAGCAGCTGAAGGGAGGAGGAGGAGGAGCAGGAGGAGGAGGAGGAGGAGGAGAACTGATGGCTGGAGCTCTGCCTCTGCTCCTTTAATCATCTGATGTTTGATCCAACATGAAAGTCAGGAGAGGTTTATTAATAGTCATTAATTATTATTAATAGTGTGTGAAATATTCACACTATTGTGATCCATTTTTCTTCCGTACATTTTTCGGTGCGGTTCTCATTCCGCAGTTTTCAAGCTTCAACAAATCATAAAACGTTTAGCTCTTTCATCAAGACTTGGATGGCTGCGAACTTGTTGAGTTTTAAAGATCAGAAGACTGATGTCATTGTGTTTAACCCAAGCTCTGCCACTGTCACTGATCCTGCAAACCCTTCCGCCACATCTAAAACAGTCTGTTACCAGTCTCGGGATAGTTTTAGACTCAGACTTTAAGTTTAATAAGCAGAGTTCTTCTAAAAAGCTTCTTTCAGCTAAGGCAGACAGCTAAGCTCAAGTCCGTCCTGTCCAGATCCGACCTTGAAAAATGAGTCCATGCATTTATTACAACCCGGCTGGACTACTGTAACTCGCTTTATGCTGGGGTCAGTCAGGTCTCTCTCACGTCTCCAGCTCGTCCAAAGTGCTGCAGCTCTGCTACTAACAGGAACTCACAGGTTTGAGCACATTACTCTCTTCACTGGCTTCCTGTGCGTGGCAGAGTTGATTTTAAGATTCTTCTGCTGACATTTAAGTGCATTAATGGCCTTGCACCCTCATGCCTCTCCGACCTCCTTCATCCTTATTCTCATTCTCGGGCCTTGAGATCATCAGACCAGCTGCTTTTGGCCGTACCTAAAACCAGCTGAAGCTCAGAGGAGATCGGACGTTTTCAGTCATGGGCCCTAAACTCTGGAACAATCTGCCCATCAACATTCGACAGGCCATCTCAGTCTCTATTTTTAAATCTCTCCTCAAAACACACCTGTACTCATTGACATTTAACACAGTGTGATCTCATTTGGTATTTCATCGTTGATGATTGTGTTCATCCATTTTGCTTTTACTCCCTGACATTTAACGCAGGGTGATTTGATTTAGTATTTCATTGTTTCTCATTATATTTCATGTTTTTATGCTTTTATTCATGTTGCTGTAATATGTTATTAATATTTGATCCTGTGGTCTTTTTTGGTAAGCACTTTGATAACAGTTACTGTTTTAAATGTGCTATATAAATAAATGTGATTTGACTTGACTTTCACGACTATCCTGTTATGACTTGTGGTATTGGTGCAACTTTAGCTTTTTTAATATTTAGCCTTTTCTGCCACTTATTTTCTCATTGAAAATGAACTGTGCTCATTTTACATCCTTCAGATCTTTAGATCTGTTTACAACCTTTTACTGCTCCTTTCACATTTTGTTCTGCTTCAGCTTCTTTCAGCTTCCTTGTACAATTTTCAACTTTGTTTCAGCTGTTTTAGCTCAATGTTTTGTGCTCGTTTCAGGGTTTTCCATGCTACAACATTTTTTTGTTTCTTCTAACTTCTTTCTGATAATTTTCAGCTATAATGCTCATTTTTGATTATTTCTGTTTCAGCTTTTTTTTTTAATATTTCAGCTGTTTTTATTAGCTTTTTCTGCTAATTCCACATTTGCAGTGTTTTCAACTTTTTTCAGCCTAATTCGGCAAAAATGTGCTTTCTCCACTTCCTTTTGGGAATTTAAGCTTTTTTCTATTTTTTTAAAAATACATTTCAGTTGTTTTGTTAACATCAGATTTTTTTTCAGATAATTTCCACTTTTTTGTGCTAATTTCTGCTTCTTTCAGCCCAATTGGCCAAACATGTTCTACTTTCTTCTGATAATTTAAGCTTGTTCTACCTTTTCAGCTGCCTTTTAAATAGTCATCATTTCAGCTGTTTTTAGATAAATTCAAGTTTTGCATGGTAATTTTTGCTACTTTCAACCCAATTAACTTCTTTATGGTAATCTCAGCTTGTTTTGCTCCTTCAGCTTTTTTTCTCTGCTAGTTTCAGCTTTTTTCAAGTATTTCAGCTGTTTTATGCCAATTTTAGCTTTTTCAGCAATTTCCACATTTTTTAGCTCATTTCAGCTCTTTCTGCTTCTTTCTAGTAGTTTAAGCTGCTTTCTGCCTTTTTAGCTACTTTTTGCTAATTTCAGCTTTTTTAAGCTAATTTCCTAATTTTTGTGTTCTGCTTTTTTAAACCTAATTTAGAAAAAAATGTTCTTTCTACTTTCTTCTGCTAACATAGGCTTAGTCTTCAATTTCAGCTACATTTCAGCATATTTTAGCTAATTGCAGCTATTTTTAAGCAAGTTCTTCTGCAATAAACATTCACACTGCATTTTCACATGTAATTTATGTAGTTATTAATTACACTCTTATTAACTTTAAACAAATGTTGAGTCATTTACCTTCCAACCAGTGAGACTTACTGAAGTTTTTTTCCCACTTTAAGTTCTGCACATTTTTCTTTGACCTACAGCCGGTCGATGTCTGTTTAGCTTCAGAAACAGCCAAAGAATAGACCTTTATTGTTATTGCACCTAAATACAACAAAATTTGGTTTTGCTTCGAAGAGCAAAAGTAAAAACAGTATAATATAAAACAAAAAATATATAAACTGTATATAAAAGGTAACAATTACAGATTTCAAACACTTCAAATGTGCAACACAAACAGATTAATATCACACTTGTTACTGCACTTATTCAGTTATATTCAGTTTTTATTACAGCTGATAACTATTTTCAAATGTTTGTTCTCGTCTTGATTGATCTGGACCTTTTCCCTGATGGTTCAAACAGATCATGTCCAGGGGCAGACGTGTCCTTTAAGATGTTGTGGTCTTTTTCTATGCAGCGGGAACTGTGTAGATCTTCCAGTGAGAGAAGAGGGCAGCCCACCATCTTGTTTTGATAACTCTCTGGAGCGCTTTCCTCTGAGCCACTGTGCAGCTAAGATCCCACAATGATGCAGTAGTGAAGATGCTCTCTGTGGAGCATCTGTAAGTAGTAAGACACCAGCAGGCTCTGGGTGATGATGTTCCTGCTGAGCTCTCAGGAAGTCCAGTCTCTGCTGGGCCTTTTTCAGCAACTCGGACGTGTTCACGCTCCAGGTCAAATTCCTGTTAATATGGACTCCCAGGAAACGGCAGTCAGCTGCTTTATTCAAAATGTGTCTATCTTCAAAAACAGCTAAAGTGTGTCTGTTCACCTACAGAAACAGCCAAAGTGCGTCTGTGCACCTACAGAAACAGCCAAAGCAGTGTCTCTTTACCTACAGAAACAGCTAAAGTGTGTCTGTTCACCTACAGAAACAGCTAAAGTGTGTCTGTTCACCTACAGAAACAGCCAAAGTGTTTGTTTACGTACAGAAACAGCCAAAGTGTG